CATGCTCTGGGCAGCCTTCTGTGCATGTGTATGTCCTTTCATTGTTGCTGGTACTGGTATGTGTATAGCAACCTGGATTTCTTGAAGTTTTATCCCACTGAACATTATTAAATCTATCTTTTCTGAAAGAGTTTTTCGTATTTCTGTCATCTCCATTATCTTCTGGATAATCTTGATCATTTAAATCACCATAACGTCCATCAACTATGTCCATGTTTAACTTTGTCAACTTCACATAAGGTTGCCATTGCTTATCTGTAATTTCTGGGTAAATGTAGCACATCCTCTGTATGAAAGCAAACCAGTCCTTCTGACTCTCAAGGATTCTCTTGTCCTGAATGTAAATTGTTGGCCGTCTCTCCTTTCCTGATTTTGTTTGTGTTGCATCCATACTGTAGTCATGAGGTCTTGGGGTACTACAGTAAACTGCATCACTGGAGATATTCTGTCTGTTAACAGGTATGGGTAAACTTAAATTTAAACTAGAATGCTGGCATTTAATTCTTAGAAGATGTCCATTAGACATTTGAATAAAAAGTGCCAAGGGGGTTTTATATGCTGGAGTAGGGCAACTTTCTGTGAAGACATATATATTCAGACCAGTAGCTTCTTCTAAGAAACGTCCTGCATCTATTTTAAACTGATATAAGAGATCGTACATAGTACCACCACTTTTACTTGCAGGTATGACAGTCCCTGGCCTCAGATTATCTATTTCCTGACACCATGGTAAGACATCATACACTATATCTTCTGGATGAACTGAATTTACAGAGGGTATTTCCTGTGTCCTGTTTGAATTACAATCATTGTTTGATGGTGAATCATCGGCTATTGAAAAGGGAATAAAATCCTGTTCTAAAACAGAACCATTTCTTTGTGTGTGTATTCTCACTTTCTGATCTTCACTGACTAAATTTTCATCACTAGCACCTAGACACTTAAAATCTATATATGGCATACTCAAATCTGAGTTTTGACATGTTTCTTCCCTTTCTGGCAATACGTGAAGCCCATTAGAGCCATTAGTGTCGAGAAAAATACCAATATCTTGTTCCTCTTCAGAAGACTCACCGAATCTGGTTCTCTTCCTGTTGGGGGTAAAGGCGTTTTCATCCAGCTTTCTCTTTTTGGTCATGGAAGCATCGTTACATGGCATCTGGCCACCTCTTTTATCCAATTTCTTCTCCAGCTCAATAGTTTTCCTTGGCCGACCTCTTTTCCTTATTGGTTTGGAGGTATCCAAGATCTTGTGGTTGATGCAGATATATTTTCTTGGTCTTCCTCTTCCCCTCTTTTCAGTGTTGAGATGATGTGCATTGTTGCAAGGGAAAGAGACGTCACATGCAGAACTCAATGATGCAGAAGGACTTGTGGCATCCAATGGCTGCTGACATCTGAAGCTGTAATAGTCCTCCTGCTCTGACAAATGGCCTGTCAGCATTTCTGCACTGTGGTTGCTTCTTGAGTCTGACATATTCTCAGAGCAACAGACTTGTAATGCTTGTGAGCCTGGAAATTGATCTGGGCCACCAATTAAAATCTTTGCTTCCATCCCCAGGAGTCTACACAGCCACTATTTTATGATAAAGAAAAGAAACAGTCACATTCCAGCCAATGTCATTTGGCTTCACAAGTACTGTACAAAAGAGATTTTCAAAAACCATGTAATTATGGTTCCATTTCAAAATTTAAAATAAATCCTTATCTGCTCACTTCATTATATATAATTATAAAACTTCATAGTACACTTGGAATAAGCAAAACCTTGCTTTTTTAAAGCTGCACTGTACTTTTAATGTAATTATTTTCTTTAAAGACAATACCATATTCTTTTGCACAAGCCTCCATGTGCAATCTCTTCTTGACATACTGTAGGTCTCGTTCCTGATCTGAAAATGAAGAAAAAATGTACAATGAAGAAAAAAAATATGAAAGAGAATTAAAAAGAAGATAATCATTTAATAATTTACAGCTTAAAAACGGAAAAAAAGTGTAATTCAAGATTATTTGGGAGTACCACAAAGACGTCATTCTCTAATAGTAATAACAATGAATTTAACTTTCAAGAAATGCACTCCCAGATCAATATTTACTTCAGTGTGACTTCAATAAGTCAACACATATCACATAACAAGGTGAACAATGATAAATAAATACATAAAATAAACATGGAAAATTATATACATAATACATATGTGTACGTATGTATACGTGTAGAAATACTCCTATATATGCATGTGTGCACAGACAGACAGACATGCCAAGGGGTCAATTACTAGTTAGTTATTTTTTTCCTAGAAATTTAGATAAATTCTTTTGTTTTATATAACTATTACTGTAAATATCATCAAAATTATCATAATATCAATAAGAATAAGGAATGAAAGAATGAAATAAAGAAAGATAGAAAAATATAGGTGAGGTCATATACTGAACTACCTAACTCCTTGGTGGCTGAGCACTTGTGGAGCCATCTATATGTAAGTAAGTTTCACAAAACAAAACTATAACGGACATTGCATGTTTCTGCTGACAATGGGTTAACGTGAAATGTACCTTCTTTGTCTTCGTATTATTTGCAAATGTAATGCTTGGGGTGACACCAGACTGGACCCTGTGTGGTTTAGATACAACTCAAATGGCTAACTTTAAATGATAGCAAGACAACCTGAAGGTAATGGCCACAGCCAAGAAACAGTTTCCTTCAAAATCCTTTGGTATCATGATGTTAATTAACAAATTAAATTAATGAGACAAGTAGTTTCGACGACTTCTGGGCCTAAAGTGCCACTCCCACACAACAAATCTTGAGTTTCAGGGGATGCATGAAAAGCCTTGGTAGTGTTGTAGAAACACTCCCCCTCCTTAGGCCCACCCCTTGCTCCTCTCTCATGTAACCTTCTATGACAACATTTTCTTTCTCTTGCACTCTCAGTAATTCACTCCCCATATCTGTTTGTTTTTACCTTTTCCTTACTTCATCTATTTTCTCTCACTCATCAATCCTTTCATCCACTCTCTTTTCCTCTTTCTTGTTTCTTTTTTTCTCTCATTCAATAATTCTTTCTCTCTCTCTTTACCCATTCCTTTCTTTTTTTCTCTCTCCCTTTTTTACTTGTTCAATCATCTGCTTGTTTCTTCTGTCTGTCTGGGCCAACCTAGCCATTATTAGCTTCCTTGCCCACTGCTGGATCATTCACATTTTCAAGGTCACACTTGAAAGATTCCTGACCAAACTTCTCTATTACATCTCAGTCTTGTCTACTGTCTCTCTTTTACCCTCCATAAAAAATTAATCCAGGATATTAATTAGACTGCAGAAAATAGCAGTTGACTCTTCATCAGATGCAATAGCAGCATTGTCCAATCAACAGCTGGAATGCCATCAAGGCTTTGCAGGTCTTTCTTAGATTCACATTTGGTTCAGTATCTAGGTGCACTTCAAGGGAACCCACCATCAAAACTACTTTTTAATTAAATTCATTTGTTGATGGGAATTGTCAAATGATAGAAAGGAAAGTGATTGTTCACCAACTTTATGACAATCTTCACTTGGTCAGAGCAGCATGTTGAGACAGACCTGCACACAAGATTACTGAGCCTTGAAATCACCCAACACTTGAGAAAGTTTCAGAAGAAACACTATATAAATAAAGAGAAGGAGAATTACAATTTCAGTTTTATAAAATCCCAGTAACACATGGTAAGCATGCCCTACAATTCTAGGAATCCTTACAGGCATAGCTGCAAATATAAAATGGAAGTGATTTACTTTATAAAATAAATGTGTGACTGACACCCTGGCTATATCCCAGTACCAGTAACTATGGCACTAGTAGACTTTATGTGATCACAAAAGAAGGTACTACATTTACAAAGACTTGCAGAAAACCAAACAAGAAGCTGCAGTTTATAGAGAAAGGGCCAAAACTGCTAACTGAAGTCTATGAATCTATGCCTCCATGCTTCACACTTGAGCAAAAGCCACCAAATTGCATATATCCTGAAAATACAATCCTTGTAGATCTGGCTGTCACTTCTTGTGGTTTAGTTTTAGTTGCTCTTTGTTAAAGTAGCAAGCCAGTGATTTAGCTATTATTATTGTCAAATAGACGATCAGTCCAGGCCCAATGATTTTTTTAATATACATAGATGAATTTTGCTAAAGTGTGAGGTATAGTGGATACTGTGCCACTATTGTATTGAGCTTCAGCTGTAGTAAACCAACAATACCCAATATATGGAAAACAATCTGGAAGTCCTTGGTACCTGGTGGTTAATGCTTCAAGGCTGAGGTCACAATCTATGCACAATATATCTCACAAGGTTCCACAGGCTGTATGGCTATGCCCCCTGGCAAACACTCCATGTCAGGGGGACTCACACCATAAAAAGATATATTTAACTGAAAAAAAAAGTACAATAGCAAATTATTCAAAATTATATAAAAAATTATAACTGATAATGTTTTACACAATGCTTTACATGAATGGTGCATCAACATTAACATATTAAGCATTCAAGTGGCTATACAAATGCATGCACAAATATTTTAGATTTTTGTGGACTTGAAAAATAATAAATATTGTATCTTCTAGCTACAATATTTCCCTAACTATAAGTGAGTGATATTTTTTACTCTCATTAATATAACCCTAAAATTTTGCTCTTTATGCTAATACTAATCATTCCTTGCTACTACTATATACACATTTAAAAAGTCCTAGATTTTAAACTACTGTCTTCATGGCATCAGTCAAATATATATCTTAAAATTCAATTGATTTCTGTTAATTGTTTAGAATACTTTCACATAAATGATTGCAGTGATTCTGGTATGGATGGGTTCCTCTCAACCTCTAGTACATACTAATAAAGGAAACATCCCATGGAACCCCCCTCCCCCAACCCCCCCCACATTCTAGGCCCCGACAGCATGGAAGGGCATGAAAGGTACCAGGTAAATTGTAGGGTAAAATATCAATAATATACAAAAA